AAAAAAAAAACCAAAAAAAACAAAACAACAGTGGTATGAGGTGCATAGATAAAATTAATTTACGTGTACATTATGTTGCACAGTATTGTGCGGGCTGTTCTATACAATTCACCACTTGTTTGACTCTTTTTCCTCAAGAATGTAGATCAGTTGTTATGTTGTAAAATTGTTTTTCATGAAATCTTAAAATTTATTTCAAAATTAATGATTTTTAAAGTAAGAGATACTCCTAGTTCAGATTTGATATATTCTAAACTCAGGTAAAGGATACTCCTAGTTCAAGAAAGGAATAACTCTAGTTTTCGTAGTTCATCTATATATACTTTTGACAGCGTAACCAAGCCCCAGAGTTTCTTAACTCGAAATATTTGACAGGTTAATGGCTTCCTGATTTCTATGATTGCAGGACGTAATTTTCTTCGGATGTTAAATCCCCAAGTTTTTTTATCATCAATGGGTATATATCGTTCTTCTCGAACAACCTCGTATCGAGGCATCTTCGAACTTTTTTTCTGCATTGCTCTTACTACGGGCCGTTGAAATATGCGTTCATGTCGTCTGTTTGAATTTGTATTGGTCGATTTGAATTTGTTTTTGTGCATTCGAATTTGTATTTGTGTATTTGAATTTGTATTTGTGAATTGCACCTCTAGGCAACCGTACCTCCGTCCGTACATAAGGGTGCTCGCTTGATGTTAAAGGAAAACTGCTCGAAAATGCACAGAAAATATCGATTTGGAACAATTTTAAGGCCAAGGACAATTGAAATAATTATTATTATGTAGTCAAAGATGAATCAAAGAGGAATCATCAAGAATTCGGGTCATTTTCAGCAAACATTAATTCGCATATTTTTTACCGCTCTAGAAAAAGTTTCGTTCGCCTCCGATTGGCACAAAAAAATTATTTCAATAGTTTTGACATTTCTTATAGATAATTTATTTTCATGTTGAATGTAATTTTCAAAGAATGATTACTTGTTACGCACAATATTCGCCGTTTATTGAGCTTTTCTCCAGCTAGTTTTCTCTCTGTTGCTACCATTGCAGTAAAAATACGGTTCTTATAAAAACAAGAAAACATCGTTATGCAAAAAAAGCAAAAGTAAGCTTATATTTTCTTTCACCTTTTTTAAACCAGTTTTCAAGTCTGTTTCATAGTGTTGATTTGTCCATAAAAGTTCGGAAGTCTCCGAAATTTGGATTTTAATGAAAGATATCCAAGGTAAATTTCACTAAACTTGACATTGTATTTGGACTACCTAAGCGTAAATATGTCGGCCATGCAAAACTTTGTCGAATAATTTTTCAGGAGCAAAACTAGCCCCTGTGGGGGCTGGTGGTGAGTTGTTTACATGTGACAAAATTAGAGAGAGTAGTTAGGGAGAGTAGTAAGGTCGAAAACAAAGACTCTTGCGAAGAAAACGATGTAGTGCATTTCGATTTCATTTTTCTCACTTTTTCACATTTTTTTCATATGGGGGACATTATCTTCATCTCGAAGAAGAAAAACAATTGAAGATTTCTCCCCGATTTTAATTTTATTTTTCAGTTTTATCTAAATAGGGAGTGCCTAAATTTATATATTATCTTTTTTGATAACTCGTTTTCCATATCATATCACTCACTCACTCGCAGACTCGCTTGTTCGCGATATCATATGAAAACTCGCGAATAAAAACGATATCGAGCAAATAACAAGTCRTAATCTTTTATATACCAAAAATTAACAACCACGGGAAGTATAGATATGTTAGCATTGCTTACTAGTGAAATACATTTTTCTTACCTTCAGAATGAACCAGTCTTATGAGTACCTGTTAAAGATAAGAAATAAAATTGTTTTTGAAATTTTTTTTATTAATTTCGGTACGCACTGTCTAAAATCGGAGCCCCTAGTACAATCTATGTTGTAACCTATTGTTTTATCTTATAGGAAACATGACAAAAGAAGTGTGGTAGATTGTGCTAAATAGGTTTTCGAAAACGTTTATTTAGCTCCCACGAAATGTGTATTTCTATGACAGAATATTGTAAAGTCCGTGCATCCACTCATGGTATTCCTTAAAAATACATATAATTTTTCGAATACTTGTTTCAAAACAATGGCTTCATACAAATATCGCCTTTTAAAAGCTCTGTTAAGAATTTTTCTTTACCTTCTCTTCTTCTTTATCTTTAGTAGTTGACGGTAAAATTGATTAATTGTTTCCCTATGTAAGAAAGTAGTGTAACCTAATTATCATGAAACGTACCTGGAATGAAAATATAAGATACCAAACTTGATCGATGTACGACAACATCCTTCAACTCCGTCACTTACAAAAACTTAATTAGAGAACTCCCTTAAGCAAATTTATTATTCTAAAGATAAAAATGGGTTATCCGTTATTTACGAGGTTCAATCCTTCTGGAAGACTGAATAATGCAGTAGATGCTTTTGATCCTTTTTGGAGTCTGATTTGTTTTTTTTAACAGCATCAATAGAAAAAAAAAAAAAAAAAAAAAAAAAAAAAAAAAAAAAAAAAAANAAAAAAAAAAAAAAAAAAAAAAAAAAAAAGGAAATAGAAATAATCAGGAAGAAAGGGTATTTAGCCCATCCAGAGAATATTTATTCTCCAGTTTTAACGGGAATTCGAAAGGAAAAACACAACTTTTGGCATATCCGCTATACGTAGTTACATATCCTGGGGAACATCAATTGGCAGATTGCCCAACATACCACACGATACCACATTGTTCTTAAATTTAACGTAATTGCAGACACAGGAAGCGAAATAAAACGTCTGAGTAGCCAATATATCTCAATTCCCTTCTTTTGCCCTCATGCTTTTATCAGCTTCTTTTGATCAGTGTTTGATCTGATATCAAGACTCACCATCTGACCAGATACGATGATTTGTTATTGAGAATAGGAATTGGGCTTGTGAAGGTCAAACGTCGAACCTCATGTGAGCGTTAATTAATTACTTTCTTTACTTTCCCATACCCATAAAACTTTGCGGCTGTGGGGTTAACTAGATGAAAAAACCCGTTTTATTGCTTACAATTGCATTTGCAATCCAAATTTACAAGAAAAATACCACTTTCTTGCTTCACTTTAAACTTTTAACATAATTATTATCCTTAATCCGCGACAGCCTTGTGAACTTCGCTTGATTTTGCAGTATGCGGTGTATTCATTGTGGATCCCCTCCAGGCGTTATATTTATGATTAATTGATAAAACGAAACTGCATTTATTGCAATTCCATACTTTGTTCATGATTAATTGATAATGTCCACATTGAATCCCACCAACACATTCTGTGTAGCGATGGCTACGATTTTTTCTTTGAATAAGTGACAAAAGAAACTGAATACGTTAAGGGGTTATTTATTAATTTTTTGTGATGCGTGATCGTGAACAATTGAGAGTCATATTCTTTAAGAATCAAACCTCGGCCTGCCAGTTGGAGGCTTATTTTGAAAGCCTCTGCGAGCAAAGATCTACATGATCATACCCCTCTTCCCTGAGCGCACTTACTCTTTGGAGACTCGCTCAGTTGTGCTATGCCTTGTTTATTGTAAACTTTTATCTCAATCTTTATTCAATTCTAATGTTAGTTTTAAGTGAACGAATCAAAGAAAATTGGTTATTCTGATAATTTAAATATTTCGAACCGATAGTTAGTATCAAAGGCTTAACACATGCACCTTCAATGATCATGTTAGATCGTTGGAAAAAGCACGACAACAAACAGTAGTGCTTCTAATGTTTCTTGCTTTCAGTGATACTTCAACGGATTATCGTTTAAAAACATATATCTATCACTGTTTTTTAAAATACCGTATTACACTTCATTTTAATGAAACTTCGAGGAGAACATTAGCCTGCGTTTTTGTTTGAGTTTTATATCAATATTCTTGTGCCTTCTCAGGTGCCACCAAGCGCAAGCGATAAACAAATATCTGTACCGGTCACGTGAGCTATGAAGGATAAAAAAATTGAAAATTTTCAAAAGATGTCCAAACAATACCCTTGCATCCGATCTTTTTTGGCCATTAAAGAAAGAAAGTAAGTAAGAAAGGGGGGGAAAAAAAGAAGGAAAAAAAAAAAAAAAAAGAAAAGAGGATTGAGAAAAAGATGGAAGGAAAAAAGGGAAGAAAAGAGTAAAATAATCCCTTGAAAAACCAGACATGAGAAAACAAGATTTTGTGTAAGAAAACTTTTTTTAAAATAACTGAGTTCTAACGCGCACTGATTGGCCGAAAAGCCATTTTAGATGAGAGTATCTAAAATGCTCACGTCATCATATTTTTTTCAGAAAGTTTTTCACTCTTCTCAAAGCGACAATCGCAGCAGTTTTTTCGTGTAGTTTACTCATTGTGCCATCGAAAATATAAACATTACTTTTGAAAAAAAAACGTTAAGAGAACAATATTTATTGGACTTTTGCAAGCGAATTCGTTACGCGCTTCTTGAACGCTTGAACAATCTACTTAACTTATCTCCCTTACTACGTGTTTTCTCCAATTTCGTCAAACATTGTGAATATATTTTTCATATTTCCTTATTAAAGAATAATGAAGTTTAAAAAGATTAGTGCTTTTTGATGTTTTAAATCTAATTTTCTATCTATCTCTTGACTTAAGGAATTTAAGAGTGACTGTCTGTAACCATCGAGCAAAACGTGGCAAACTTCGAAAAATCGATTTCGCTCATACTTT